CACTGAGGAAGGTTACAGTACAACAATATCCATTTTTTAATACTGTCTTTGAAAACTGACAAAAAGAAAAAAGAATCTGATCTAAAAGTCAGGTTCACAAAACATTGAGATCAATTAGAACAGGTGTTTTCCTGATGAACTTTCTGTGAAATGCTGCTGATTTCTAGTGATGCAGCATGGTGCCAAGACAAGGACAGGGTGCAAGGAAAGTACCTGGCTTTCCCATTAGCTGGTTATCTATTTTGCAGCCAGATCCTCAGCTGCAATAAGCTGATGTTACCCTTTTAAACAAATTTACCCTGGCTGAGGATGAGGCTGGGGTTAATGAGCAGCTATAGTGGCAGAGTTCCTCAATTTCTGAAATTATGGAAAATGACTGCCTGTTGCAAAGTAGGTGACTTAGCAGTGCAGTAGTACTGACTTATCACAAGGAGAAAAAAATATTCAAAGGTTAATGTCGAATGAAAAAGCACCTATTTGCTGAAATTCCACTATTCAAATTCTTATTGATATGCTGCTGACCTCTAACCCCTACAACAATTCTTTAGTGAAAGAACTGTGTGATTCAATTGCAAGCAGATCACCAGATTTGGCATAATTCCTTGACTTATAAATGTGAAAGAGGTAGGAAAGTGGATAACTATCTGACTAGCTAGCACTCACAAAAGACAGTATTAAGTTTCCTTAATATCTTCTACTTAGTGCTCTTCCTTGGGTCATAGCCCAAGATACTAATTTGGTATTTTAAATCTTAAAAAGAAATGTGATGCTTTGTGCATTGGTGCATAAAGGAAGAATAGAACTGGTATGGATGATCCAGAAGGTCCTTTCATTCTTGAATTCCTGTAAAATGAAAAGTTGCCTCAAATGGGAAAGTGAAAGTATTTTTGCTATGAAGGTAAAGGAAAAAGAGGATTTGAGGTTTTTAAATCATCCCTTTCTGAATAAAAAGTGTAATCAATGCAACACACAGCTGTAAAATCTTCATTTCTTCATAACTTTTTTTTTTTTTAAGAAAAAGTAGTTTTGAACCTTATATATGATAGCAAACTTTCTAGAGATTACCTATATTTAAAATCTGGTGTTAGACTACAAGTTAAGAAGTAGGGAAAGCGGGCTTGACCACTAGACTATAGAAGATATGTGCCAAGTAAGAGGTATTTTTACAGTGAAATCCATCTTGCTTTAAATAAACTAAGCATAGTCTTTCACTCTGTTTTCCCTTTGCATATTTGAAAAGTGCTGAAATAGAGGAAAGGAAAGGTTATAACACTTTCACAAATAATTCAAAAGAATGAAAGGAGAGTAAGACTAATAATTAAGAGTGAAATATTCCAGGGTGTTTTATTCAGTTAGCACAAAGGGTAATAAGAGCAGATGCTTTTCCAGTCCTTACAATTCTTAGCTTGTCTTGATGTACAATGAAAAGAACAAAAGATAATTAATGGTCTATGAAGAGGACAGTCTTAGTAGTAAGTCGATGTCTCAGCATCCGTCTTCACATCGATCAATATTAGAAACTATAAATTCACTGGTTGTTTTATGAGATCTTTAAAAAAGCACGCAAAATTATCAAGATCATAAAAAAAAATGTATTTCATTCTTTTGTGACCTGTAGCCTTATTATTCTGCCTGGAAAAGGACACTGCGATTCTTCTATGTCATAGCCCATTCTAAAGAGGAAAGTATTTTTGTTATTTTTCAATTCATGATCTGTGTAGTTTATCTCAGGTGGAAGGGTCCTTCTCTAAGCCAGCTGGCTCGTAAAACAAACGTGTTGCTGCCCTCCTGGCTGGATATGTGCTCCGTGCCTTCCCTGGGCACCCCTCAGCCCGAACAGTGTGGTGCCATGCGGAGCCACCAACCTGTGATCAACCAAACAAGCACATGCTCTGGGCCCGAGCTGGCAGGATTTAGGCCAGCTCTAGCCTAAAGCAGCTTGGATGTACTCAGGCACAGCAGTGCTCCTGCTAATGAGCTCTGCCTCTCTCATAGGTGTCACACAGAGCACCGTCCTCCCAGCTGCAGCTACGCGGTTCAAGCCCCAGCTTTGGAGGTAGGGGAGATGGTGTGTGATGTGTGATTCTATGGACACACTCACTGGTTCCTCTGCTGCGGCAGGCCATTGTAAGCATAGATCCTGGCAGGCACTTTGTCACTTTAAAATACCTTAGGCATGTGAACAGTTTTATAGGTAGACCTAAAGCACTATCTTAGAAAAAATTTGTTAGCAGCTAAAGTTAGGTGATATTAAAATCACAGCTGCCATAGGGGAGCCATTTGGAGGGGAGAAAGCACTGAATGTCTCAGCATGAAGAAAGGGAGGCGGATGTAAAGGTTGATTTGCTAAGAAGGGCTGGACTAGACATTTTGAACTGACTAAGAACAGCTCTGCTGTGAAGTCAACACATTCTCAGGAGTAAAGGAGATGGAGACCCTGGGCTCTGTTTCAAGCAAGCACTGTTCTGTAAGTGTGCTAAGCTTAACAGCTCTCCAGAGCACGAGTTGGCCCTGGCTACTCTTTTCCAGAACCCATCATGGTGAGATGCTGATCTCCTGTAAAGATGCAGGTCCTGCAGTAATGAGGATTATACTGTATTTGGAAAGCTGGATCATCCTCCATCACATTGGAAAAGACTATCCCTGTTCTTCATCGGGCAGTGCCAGTTCTGAATACCTGCAAACCTGCCCTGTAATAGGACACATGACAGATTCTGGTCTGCAGTCTTGTGTGCCATATAGCTGTTGCCAGCTAACAGTGCTTGTTTCCATATCTGACAGATTCTGGGATCCAAGCCTCACAGGTGTGAGATTACAAGGTGTGAGCAAGCAATTTCAGGCATTTTTAGAGACTTTGAGAACATAACCCCCTCGATCTCTGGTATTCAAGTCCACAGAGGTGGTACACATTACAAGAAAATGCACATGTATGGATGTTGCATGGAATGGCTTAAGTGCAATGAATAAAGATAAAATTTTTTCTTTCCATTTTTAACCAAGAAAGATAAGATAGCTTCTTCTATTGTTCTCTTTAGCTGGGAAGAAAAGGGACCAAGCTGGCGTCAGGAATTCAAAGGGCAATGTCTCTTTCCTGGCGCAGTACTATTCAACACAGTTCAAGTCAACAAAAGTGTCAGGGCCAGGGAAAGGGTAGTCCTTGGTTTCAAGGAGCCCAGTCCTTGATTTGGGTGGAGTTGGCATTGCTTGGCAGTCACATCAGAGAGACAAGTCAAGGTTTAAGTAGAAGTTCACTTGCAGCAGTTTCTGCAAATAAGGACTTTTCAAATGCCCTGTAAAACCCTCTGTAACCGTGGAAAAGAAAGTGTTCTCATCTAAACCCAAGGGAAAAGTTAGGAAAAATCTGTACTTTACAACCTTTTAGCACAGGTGTCATTTTACAGCTTTAGATAATTGAAATTTGTATTGAGCTTCCTGCCTGTTCATCTTATTACTGGGAAAAAAGTTGCCTTTCTCATAAGTACTAATGGCACATATATTGTATATTTGTGTGGTATGTCAAAATATATAAGAGTAAACTTTTCTTTCTGTAGTGATTTGTTGCTTTGGAGTCGGCAATTTTATTTTCTTACATCAGTATTTCTCCAAACTCAGTCTCTTCAACAACACAACCTATGTTAAGGTGCTGACTGATCTCTACTGGCAGAATATCTTATGTTCTTCTCTATTCTTTTGCGTGGTTATTGTCACTAATCACTAGTAAGTAAAACAGACAGATGTAAGCACATTTGGAAGAAGTGGGGCTGTAGGCTAGGATGGTGTCAAGATCCAAGCAAAGCTCAGTAAGTCAGTTAAGGCTTAAGTGTATGAGTTCTAACTAATACAGTGGAAAAGGAACTGCGAATCCCATAGAGATCTTTAGGTGGGCAGTGACAGACAAGCTTCTGCAGAGCAGGGCTGTTGGGTTCCTGTGTAAATGCCAAGGAGGCTATGCCAGCCAACTGCTGCATCCTGGTTAAACTGAGGGAAGCTGGGGATGGGGTGAGCCAGGTGCTGAGTGCCCAGACAGGAAAAGTGGTGTTACGGCTGTTTCTCTACCTCAACCCAAAGAAATTCTGCTACTCCTCAAGGTTTTGCTATATGTCACCACCACTTCATACTAGTATTAGTCTATGTTGCGCACAGGTGCCTCAAGTCTTCAGGGAACAGGGTTTTCTGCATGCTGCTGTGTGACTGCAGAGATGAGGTCTCTTGCTAGAACCAAAGCAGATCCCCATAGTTAAGACAGAGTTCAATTTACTTCTCAGCCTCTGTGCTTAAACGAACAATACACAATATTAAATCAGTGTCAACTGCAAGGGGATGGATGGTGTTGTTAAAACCTTGATCTCAAGCTCAACGTACTGCTTCCCGAAGGGTCCCATTGCCTTTCCTTGTAAATCTGTCTTTCACTCTAGTAAGTTCTAACTGTGTTTGTCAGATACTTTGTACAAAGTATATTAAGAGATCAATATACATAATAAAATAGAGCCTAAAAGGCTTCCAGACTGCCATCTAACACTGTGACACGTGAACTGCATCAGTGCACATGAACAACAGCATGCAGCAGCAAACGCATTTCAGGCAGAAAGGACAGAACCTTCCACCTTGCTACTGGCCTCTCAGGAAATCCATTTCGTGCCTCTAGGAGATGGGCCTCATCACGCTTGAACCTAACTTGAAAGCCAAACCCTTCACGTTTTCCCACTGGTTTGATCTTGGGGGCAATTACTGCCTCAAGCAGGGTCAGCAGCTTTCCCTCAACCCTTGTGATTTTACCATTCCATTGGTCAAGCAGAGATGGTCAGATAATGTGTAAGTCAAATGTGGAAAATCCTTAATAACATATCAACTTGTGAGAACAAATTCCATGATTTGTTTCAACTTTGTCTAAAGAACTTGCAGACAAATTGAATCATCTCCTCATTAGAGGAATGGAAGAGGGATCCCAGAGTGAAGAAGACAAGAAAATTAACCTGCATGCATTTTGCTTTGTTTTCCAGGTACCTCCAGCATCTACCGTTCTTGACGTGAAACACAAATTTCACAAAGCATGTAAGTACTATGGCTAACAGGCTGGAGGCATGGTTAGAGGCCTTTCAGCTTGGAGAAATTGTCAAATTTATTTTTCATGAAATCTCACACAAAAGCTGAGACTTGCTTGACAGCTCCAGTGCTAAATAAGAACAGTGTTCGAATTAAGGTTCTACTATACCTATCGCAGATGTGAGAGTGGAAGGAGAGATCTGCATAATTTATCACTACCAGCACGTGAGAAGCAGTTGTTTTCTATCTTCCTTTTAACATTACACAGTGCCAATCCAAGTCCATGGATGATTTGTTCTCCCACTGTTATGTTAGATAAACTTCAGTAACATTAGGTTGCTTCAAGCTGGCCATAAATAGATCACATAGACCAAAAAACTACCGTAGTCAGGAACTTGAGCTTGAAGTGATTAAATGGCATCTGGGATAGTCGAGATTTCTGTAAGGCCTTTCATGTGGTCCCATACAACATCCTTATCTCAAAATTGGAGAGATGGATTTGAAGGATGGAGTATTCGGTGCATAAGGAATTGGCTGAATGGATACAGTCAGAGAGCTGTGGTCAATGGCTCTGTGTCCAGGTGGAGGCTGGTGAGGAGTGATGTCCCTCACTCAAGGCTCTGTCTTGGGACCTGTGCTCTTCAGTATCAGTGACCCAGATCGAGTGCACCCTCTGCAAGTTTGCTGATAACATGAAGTTGAGCAGTGCAGTTGACACAACACAAGGACAGGATGCCATCCAGGGGAAACTGGACAAACCTGGTAGGTGGGCCCATGAGAATCTCATGAGGTTCAACAAGTCCAAGTGCAAGATGCTGCTTCTGGGCCAGAGCAATCCCAGAAATGAGTACAGGCTGAGAGAAGAAGTCACTGAGAGCAGCCCTGTGGAGAAGAACTTGGGGATTCTCGTGAATGAAAAATTGAAAATGACCCGGCAATGTGTGTTCGCAGCCCAGAAGGCCAATCATACCCTGGGCTGCCTCAAAAGAGGAATGGCCAACAGGTCAAAGGAGGTGATTCTGTGCCTCTAGTCTGCCCTCATGAGACCCCACCTGGAGTACAAGAAAGACATGGACCTGTTGGAGCAGGAAATTTTCTGAGGGCTGGAGCACCTCTGCTGTGAAGACAGGTTGAGAGAGCTGGGCTTGTTCAGCCTGGAGAAGAGAAGGCTCTGGGAGACCTCATTGCAGCCTTCCAGTACCTGAAGGGGGCTTATAAAGAAGAGGGAGACTGGCTTTTTACTTGGGCAGATAGTGACAGGACATGGGGAAACAATTTTTCAACCAGAAGAGTAGGTATTTCAGTTATAGATACATAAGAAATTATTTACTGTGAGGATGTTGCATCCCTGGAAGTATTCAAGGCCAGGCTGGATGGGGCCCTAAGTATCTTGGTCTAATGGGTGGCCTCTTAGATGCTGAGCTTTCATTATTTTTACAAAAAAAGTGTTCATTAAACTAAAGGCTAGATGCCTTTTGCAAAAAAAAAAAAGAAAAAGAAAAAGAAAAAGGTTGTCAGTCACTAAAGTTTGAGCTCAGGGTATCGTAAGTAGAAGAAGAACTGTGCTTCTATTCTGTCCTTAGAAGTTTATAAAAGAGTAAAGCTTAAGGCTTCTGTGGTTGCATACAGGTTCAGTCGAAAAAGCAAAATGCTGTTGACCTGACTGTTTTAAAATTACTTATTTTCACTATCTGTAAGGGCTTGTAAAACAAAAAATGGCAAAGGTTCAAAAACCACATTGCTGAGTAGAAAAAGATGGAATGCATATGTTTTAATATTTCAGTAAGGGTATGGCCTCCCATCGCTTTGTGAAATGCAATGCATTTCTGCCTAGAATCTCTTAAATCAATTGAAACTGGATTTATATTGATGCAGTTTAAATCAGTTGAAGAACACTGGCACAGAGGTTTATGCCAATATAACTGCAATGTGGTTTTTAATGGATTTGGGCTAAAATGGTGCAAGTCTCTGTATAAGCCATTTTAATGGTGCCTATTTTGATATCAAGAGGTATCTCACTTCTCAAGTACCCCCAGTGATATAACTGGAGCTAGTATCAAGGAAGACAGCATACGACAAAGCATAGGACACACTGTGAACCAAACCTCTGACAGTACAGCATTTTACAGCACACTGAAGGGCTGGTATGTGCCTTCAATGCTCTTTTGGGCCTCAGTTTTTTTATGTCAATTCCTCCCATTCCCAGGAGTACACCGTAGCAGTGTCCTGTGTCCTTCCTTACAATTTCAGCTCATTGCTTTATATCTCTCTTTTCCAGTTCGTGACTTAGGGATGTTTTTGTCTCATGAGGTTCCCCCCCGCCTACCTTTCCCCACCCCTTTCTCCTTTCTCAATTGCAAAGACCAAACCTTCACTTTTTTCTCTTTGCATAGTCTGGAGGATGACAGCAAATAGAATACAATTCTTCTAGGCAAGAGCTGAGAAGGGGCTGAAGCTGATATGTGGATGCCTTTGGTTACCATGCTATTTTGTACTAGCTCATGCATTCATTTCTGTCATTTCCTGTGTGCCAGACTCACATGTTCCCCTATAATCCCTTGTTAAAACACACTCCTACGCACACCCCCTTACAGTCTCCCTGTCTCCGTACCTTCTGCTTTGATCACCCATGCAATTAAGCTTTCTCCTCAGCTGGTGTCTTGTCAGCCCTTCAGTGAGAGGAACCCCTGTGCAGCAATTTCACAAGCATCCTTTCTGTCACAGAGCAGGTTTTGCTGCCTGATTCAAGAAAGGAGGATAAAGACTGAATTATGAATTGCAGCACAGGAGGCTATTAAACATTAAAATAAAAGAAATGAGATGCAAGTGACACGTGCCATCTTACTGCTAAGTAATGTCTAAGTCAGTCAAATATTAGTTTGGATCTGTGTTTATACAGAAGGCAGAATACAGATTTAGAAATCCAGAGATAAATATTGAAATACTCCTCAGCCCTCACTTCAGCAGAACTGTCTCTACTGAAACAACCCCAGCAAAGCCTAGCCATGTATTTTCACACATGGTTCAGAGGGGCAATCCCAGTTTTATCACTGGAGATTCAGGGATCTTAGTGGGGAATAACCATTTAAGACAAACTGCCATTTCCACAGGAATTCAAAGGCTTTGCCCAGACTGAAGACGGCTGCTTTGAATCATCCCCTGGTTGCTGTAGCCACTGCCCCTGGGAGGGACTGGCAGCACCAACGGGGGACAGCCCAGAACAGCAGTTTCCCTGTTGCAGCCCTCCAGCCATCAGCTCTACAGGGGCTTTCTGTAACAGATGTTAGAGCCAGGCTCTCACACTTAATAGCAAACATCACACCTGCCCACCATGAATCTGTCTAATCCTTTTAAAACATGTTTACAGTTTTGACCCCAGCAAAATCCTCTGGGAGGGAGTTCCACAGTATAAGTATGTTGTGGACAAATGTCTGCACTTCTACAACTTGATATTTTCTGCCCGAAATTGAGTGGCAGCTGAGTGTCTGGGTGCCACTGGCCATCATGCTGTATTGTCTAAGGCATGATCAAAGAAGCCTCAATCAAACTGGTGCTGTGCTGTAGGTGACTTTACTAGTATTTTCCTTGTTCCTTTGTCTAGCTGGCGGACGTGGAACTCAGCCAAAAACTAAGTGTATAAGAAGGAAGTCTCTTGACCCATTTTCTCAGTTGCTTATAATGAGTTAGGTACCTGGCATTTTCTTTATCTATACAGATTATATTTTCAGTGGAGAAAGAAATATCTTGTAGGCTAAACTTCCTGAGCTCTTGTCCTTGGCAATAACTTTTCACCTTTAATTTATTTTTTATCTTTGCAAAATGTATTGGACTGCTGTGGGAGGAAATCTTACCGATAGAAAATGAAAAACTGTAATAATAATGCTAATTCATGTATCACATAACTAAAATAAAATACCTCTAGAACAGGTAATATAGTGGAGTCAGTGATCATTAAATATTTTCAAGGTTACTGCATGGAACTTGCTGAAAAATCTCTTGAAAGAAGAGGAAGAGCAGAAAGGAGAGGGGGAAATAAGATCTCAGCAATACTGTAACAAACTCATGGTGGCATCCTCCTGCACAAGGGTGATGGCACAGCTAAAACTATATTTTGAAGCCAGAAGAGTGAGCGCAGGGAACCCAAAATTACATTCTAGGCAGAAGTAGCAGGCAGGGAATGGTGGAAGCCTGGTGATGGGTGAAAGGAAAAAGGGAAATCGAAGAGAGAACTGAAAACATCATGAGTATCCTGGCCTGCAGCGGGGAACGAGGTGCTCAAGGAATAATGAACAATTCAAACTGCCAGCTGTCCCAATAAAATACTAACTCCTAATCATTCAGCTCCAAAATTGCAGGCACCTCTAAAAAAACAGATGTTGTACAGAGCATTTAAAATAAGCAATATCAATGAAAGTAAATCACAAAGATAGAAATTGTCAGTAGATGGCACTCAAGAATAAACAGCATAATTTCTGAAAAATATGAAATTTTAGAATCTTGCTACACCATCTTACAACTGCTCCTTGTAGGTATTTCTACAGTGATCTTAGGAGCTATGTTCCTGGGAAAGCTGAGATATTTTCTGTTGCTTTTCTCTAGAGACAGGACAGGTTAAAAAAACGCAACTCCTTCATTATGGGACAAATCCCACTTTTAGCCTCCTCCTTGTAGGCTGCAGGGCAGTGTGTTAGGATTCATCTGCCAGGTTTTACCTATTGCTCTCATCCTGCATGTTCCTCAGAAGCTGTAGGAGAACAGGCAGTCCCACAGATTTCTTCACTGCAGACATCCTGGTCAGAGCATTTCCCACCTGACTGTCTGCACAAAAGCAGGATCAGTGAGTCCTGTGCAGGTTCTTCCAACACGCCGTTTCACCAAGTGCATCAAATACTCCCAGTGACTTCCAAATGCTTGAATCAGATGTTTATTGCCTAATGCAAGGAGATACCATGTCAGAGGGCAAACAGGAGCAGAAGTACCACATCATACAATTCTTCTCCAGCTGCATG